ATCCTCAGCTCGACAGACCATTTATTATCGACACGGATGCGAGCAATGGAAGTGTCGGTGCTGTTTTATCCCAAGAAATAAACGTCCAAAAACGTGTAATAGCCTACTGAAGCAAGTGCCTATGAAAACCAAAGAGGAGTTACGGTGTTACTAGGAAAGAGTTACTCGTCATAGTTAAAGCCGTAGAACATTTCCACCATTATCTCTACGGCAGAAAATTCCTACTCCGCACGGATCATGCTTCATTGACCTTGTTCTTAATTTTCAAGAATCCTGAGAGTCAAATAGCCACTTGGATACAGAGACTCCAGCAATGACATTGCTATCCATCATCGGATGGAATCATCACATGGAAACGTCGAAGCCCTGTCTAGAAGACCTTGCCCAGAAAGCTGCTGATATTGTTCTATTCTGGACGATCTAGGGTCAAAGCGAAATACCAGCTGCTTAATCCAGTCGCACGACAAATTACAAAATCAACATCGGCTGATCGAGACTCAAGAAATGACAAAGAAGTCATTTAAGACCAGCTGGAAGACCGTGACATTAAACCCATAATGGATTTAATGGAGTCATCAAATAGAAAACCTACCTAGCAGGACATTTCGATCTGTAGGCCTACAACAAAACAATATTGTGCAGTTTGGGATTCACTTTATATTTGAAACGGCGTCTTGTACCGGAAATTCGAATCGGACGATCGAAAAGCTTTCCCATGGCATCTGATACTTCCAAGATTCCGGATTCCGAATGTCCTTAAAGAACTGCATAGCAGCCCTACAGGAGGTCACTTCGGAATAATGAAGACCTTGCAAAGAATTCGTAAGCGCTTCTAGTGGAATAATGCAAAGTATAACGTGCAAAAGTGGTGCCTATCTTGGCCTGCGCAAGTCAGAAAAGACCGAAGAAACGCAGCCGAAGGAAGCTGCAATGTTACAACATAGGAACGTCTTTTGAACGTATCGCATCTGACAACTTGGGACCTCTGCCACGAACTGCTGATGGCAACGAAAACATCCTTGTTGTCATTGATTACTTCACCAAGTGGCCTGAAGCATATCTTATTATTGATTAAGAGGCTGCCACAGTAGCAGAGGTAAAGATACAGACTGGATTTCCAGTCGAAGTCCTCTTCAGTTACATTCCGATGAAGGAAGAGATTTTACTTTGGCTTTGACCAAAGAACTCTGCAAGCTACTCGGCATTGACAAGACCCAAACTACGCCTTTACATCCATCCCCAGTCGGAAGGCATGGTAGAGAGGTTTAATCGAACCATTCTTAATAATGTCATTGGTGGTTTCTAGAAACCAACAGGACTGGGAGAAGGAGTTACCACTGTTTCTACTGGCTTACCGCAGTGTTGTCTACGAAACTACCGGCTATTCCCCATCTCAGATGCTCTTCGGTTGTGACTTTCGCTCGCCTCCTGATATCTTGTTTAGTCGCCCCCCGGATGCGCCTTCATCGCCTGAGGAATACATCCAAGACCTGCAGGTCCGGTTTGAAGTGGTGCACAATTTTGCACGAGAACGAGTCAGCTTGCCGACGGAGACAATGAAGACCCGATACGAGACGAGAACTACTGGACATCAATTCGACGAAGGAGACAAGGTGTGGTTGTGGAATCCAACACGACGGAAAGGACTCTATCCGAAATGAAAGTTACCTTGGCATGGTCCCTACACAGTCCTAAACAGGCTGAACGACGTTGTGGTTTGGATCCGAAAGTCATCGAAATCTAAACCTAAAGTCGTTCATTACGACAGGTTAGCTCCTTATTATGGCCATAGTACTTAGTGTATATAATTGTAAATAGCATTCTGAATAGTATAAGACCATGGTATGTTTTGCTTCTAAATTTGATTTGTATTTAGAACTTTGAAGTATTTGATTTGCTTCAAGTTATTTATTGCAATTATTTTTTATGTTGTTTGTTGTTGTAATGTAATGTTTATTCTTGCACTGATGCCTTAGCTGTAAGTTTAACTTCCTGTCCAGGGATTGTACTGCCCGGGACGTGCAGTCCTTGGCAAGGGGAAAGTGTTACGATTCTTGGTATCTAGTTTGCTACTTTAGTAGAATTGTAATTAAATTGTTTCATTTCCCTGTGCAATGCTGCGCGCGATGAGTTTTAAGAGAAACGCCGAAAAATTAAAAATACGGGAGCACGCGAATTTAACATTTAATAAATAAATATCTCGTAATTGTACTGTTTTGCTATCTAGGAAAATCGAGAAAATAGATTATACCAGAATGTTCTCGTGCAACGATTATAAAGCTTAGCCAGATCAAAACATCTCTATTCAGTTGTTTATTTAGTGCCGTTATTGGTTGTAGCGCATTCGCGGTGAGATCTGATTAGCTTTCTCAGTGTTTTGTACTGAGTTCTATTCAATGTTTTAGTAGTTTAAAACACATTTATATGTGTGGTACTGCGATATTGTATGTCTCAGGAAATTTCTGCATTTTGTTTTATGTGTTGTGATAAGAATAAATTTTATTCCCTTTTCATCGGACTTGTGCATTAAATTTATTACGAATCCGTATGCACGCAACAATATAAAATGGATGATTTAAATTATAAACGGTTCCGGTGTTTTGTGAGCAATTATCTCAGGTATTATTAGAAACTAGAGGTTGTAAATTAAAGAAGAGGCCTACAAGTTGCTTAAGACAATATTTGTTGAACCACGGAATTTTTTTCCCATTCACTTGCTTATAATGATATTGGCCACTGCTAAGTTTAAAACACATTCCAGAAGTTCCAGAAGTGGTGGCTATTTTACCGTTGATGCACCTAATGGGTGGCCACCGTTATCTCCTATGAAAGGACAGACAATTTTATATCCATGCCTTCTCCGGGATCTGAACCCGGGCCTTCGACATCGCAATCAGGCTCCCCTAACTACTAATACTGTTTGGGCGGTGCCACAGAAATTGTTCGCTTGATATGTAACTTATGCATAATGAATGTTCTAATGAATGTTCTCAATATCAGATAAGGTTGACTCAATATCAGATACTTTTGTATTTAAGGATTGATAAGATTTCAAAGAAAATCTCACAAAGCGCAAAATATTGTCGCAATAAGCAAAGATCTTAGGTTGCTTGGTTTTGCTATCATCGGTTTCGATAATGGCGAAGATAATGTAACAACAGCTTTGAATCACCAATATCGAGTGTGATGATCTAATTTCTAATCGTATGGCTAGAAAATGGTTTCGGTTTCAGAGGGAATTTCCAGCCACACTTCGGTAGTATATGTGAAAGCGGAGTTAAATCTGTGAAGTTTCATCTCAGAGAAGTGATAGGAGAGATTGTGCTCTTTTTTGAAGAGTTGGTTTTATTTTCCTTGCAGACATAGAGGCTATTTAAAATTCTAGGCTTCTAATTCCCATTACTACAGGTATATGAAGTTTAGATGCACTAACTCAGCATTTTCTTGTAGAAGAGACTATTACAGGTGCTCCTGATTACAGATATACTATTCTTCAAGGCCTTTGTTCCAGGTGGGATCTTTCGCAAGAAATAAATCAGAGATTCTAGAAAAGATGGCGCAGTGAATACTTGCGTACCTTACGATCCAGATCTGGATAAGGGGTAGACCGAATCTGGAAGTCGGTGACTTGGTTTTGCTAAAATGTGAAACTTCTCTGATTACATGGGCATTGAGAAGAATAGTAGTGGTATATCCAGGACCAGATGGATTTGTCCGTGTGGTTAAAATTCGGACTTCTCACTCCGTTTTCCAGTGCCTCGCAAGCAAGTCAGTCCTCTTGCTTAAGTATCAAGAATCCAAAACTTGAGGGTGGGAGTGATGGTGGAGCATCACATGGGAACTGTGAATAGATTTCTTATTGCAACTAATTCTCAGTTACATGGTTTAACTGCTCGCTGTTGTTACAAACAGCCAAACTGTTATGTCTGTATTGCTACTGCTTCAGAAAGTCCAGCACTGGCGCTTTACTGTAGGCCGCACAGAGCTGCAGACCACCGCTCGTTTTGTTTCGAATTCAATAATACTAACACAGTTCAAATGCAGTGTGTGAAGTGGTTGTTTAAATTTAAAACTTAGTATTTTGTATAATCTCTGCAGAATAAAAATTCTCATTAGTTAAATTTTCATCAATTTATTAATTTAAATGCAGGTACTAGTCCTTTCGATCATGTAAAAAATACCAGAAGATATTAGAAAAAAATTGCTGACTTACTTAAAATTTCAAGACCAATTTCCAACTGATAATTAATAGTTTTAGGACAAATTTAGAGACCATCTGCTAAATAAAAGGTATTTTTTGGAGATTAATGATTCTGATTAATAACTTGAATAAAGCAACATTCTTATTTAGTTTATGATATTGTGCTAAAAATTCATTAAGCCTTTCTTCATGAATTTTTAAATTTATTTGTTATGTATTTATTATTGTATTTATTGTATATTCATTATTGAAGTTTATTTGTATTATATTTATTACTAAAATTTTTTTTCGAAAGTTACTTTTTGTTATTGATAAGTATTCCACTATTTAATGTTTTGGCATTTTAGGTATTATATAAAACGGTACTTTATATTTGAAGAATTCTTTCACTCTTATTTTAAAATCTGTTTTCCTAATGTATAAATTTCATTGTAATAAACTTCGTAATAGTAAATACACGCTTAGGGCTAATATTTAAGGAAATAAAGCCTGTAGTTATAATTTTCGAACATCGACAGCGTCATTTATAACTTGTTAATCGCCTTAAGTACTGGTATAAAAATAATTTAATGCTATTAACAAACCTATAAGATTCTATAAAATGTTTTTATAACAAAAATACAGCTACATAATTATTTAAAAATTTCCTCAAGAGTTTAAAAAAATCATTTTTCTGAAAAAATTATGAAATTAAAATATGTAAACATAATTTGTACCTTCTTAGGTACAGAAAAAGAGTTCAAAAAAGCAAATAATGTAAACATTTACACGTTAAAAGAAAGCGAAGAAAATTACTTACTCACAATATTTTTCCAAGTCTTTTTCATTTTCGGCCAATCTGTTATCTTCAGGCAATTTTCCTATTACTAGAGGAGCACATGTTAAGAACCCTATTGCAGGGCAAATTTCTTCAGCAGGATTTTCAGCTAATGCCACTGGAATAAAAACACCAAAATTTATTTATTCTTAAACTATCAATAAAGCATTCTTGTTATAATAAATATGATAGTGAAATAATAAAATTACCGCATCCAATATAAGATAACAATATATACACTTAGAATATATCTAGCAATAATCAAAATAAACCAATGTTAGTCTGTTTGCAAATTATCTACTCTCTTTCGCTGACCTACTACTAAGCATTACTATGCCACATTATGGACTATTGCTTTGCACATTAAAAGAATTAAATTAATCCGTTTAAGCAATCTTGCTAAAATGTGGCAAATTCTCAGTCAATCAGATTAAAAATATTTTTATTATAAATATCACTGCTACTATTTCGCTTCATTCTTCTCTCCGCTTCGCTCGCGGCTGGCAACGTACGCTCCTCGCTGTGTTTTATTTACTGTTTCAAAGTATGTATCTTTGAAACAAAACTCTCAGTATATCTTCCACCCGAGATAATGTGCGATGTAGAATGTGTAAAGAAGAATTAAGTGCCGAGGAATAAACTGTGTCTTGTTATTTACGCCGCTACTACTGGTTTTTCTTCGTTATGCAACTCAGATTACAACGAAAAGAGTCATCTTCAGTACATTGTAGCTGTCTATCCAAACATTCCATTACATGTATATAATAAACTAGAAAGCCCGGCGGTCATACGAAAGGACCGCTGTTCTAGATATTATAAATTGCAATTAAAATGATTTGTGCAAATGTGTCTGCTAATTCAAACTGAATTACCCAGGGCAGGCGGCAAGGACACCCCTTTGCTTACTGTCCCATGTGGTTTCCCCCCTTGCTTAATTGCTTAGAGTGCAATGAAGGAAACCACTGGCGGTGCATTTCTTAAGAGCCACCGCTAGCTCAATAAATAAAGGTGATTTAACTAATAAAATGTTAATTCACATGTCAAAGATCTCTTTGTACACAACATTTCTTGTGTAGATCTTTCCATCATTTTTAAGCTCGCCCTGCAGTGGACCATTCATTATTTTTAATTTTATGTCCGTTCTTTCACGAACTCTTAAACAGGCAACATAAAGCTGACCGTGTCCAAATGCAGGCGCAGGTAAAAATATGCCAACACGCTTAAGCGTTTGGCCCTAAGACTTACTGATGGTCATAGCAAAGGCAAGTTTTACAGGAATTTGTCTACGTCTCAAATGAAACGGCAACCCCGTGCCGTGGCAACTTCACCCCATTGGCTAGTACAGTTACGCAAGCAACCAATAAACTATCGGCGACAAACAGACACTTAAGCGGCATATATATATGAGGTGAAGTAATATCATCTCCTCCGAAACGGCTGGCTCCCGGGCTTAGCGAAGCAAGCTGTTGGATTCCGCAGGTCCATGGCACACTATTTTGACCATTCGCGTCTTCTTGGGACTTATTGTATATTTATTATCGAAGTTTATTTGTATTATATTTATTACTAAAATTTGTTTTTTGAAAGTTACTTTTTGTTATTGATAAGTATTCCACTATTTAAGTTTTTTGCATTTTAGGTATTATATAAGACGGTACTTTATATTTGAAGAATTCTTTCACTCTTATTTTAAAATCCGATTTTATTAGTCGAGATATTTTATTAGCCGAGATATTAATTAGAAACTAATTTTCCCTACATTTTCTACTTTCTTTCTTGGGTTTTCCCTATTACAGGGATTTGGCTAAGTGCCAAATTCTTTTTTCTCGAATATCTACGGAACGGCGCCGAGTTGAAATTCGAGACGCATATTCTCGGATTCTAAAATAATCTCCTAATCCATCGATACCGTTCTCATCTTCGTACGACTTTACTCGGCAGAGATATTAATTAAAAACTGCGGAAACGTTAACTTCCGCGCTCATTTTTTCGAGTGGCAACTATCGGCGACACACACTTTAGCCGCTTATGTATATAAAGATACAATATAAAAGAAGAATTTCTAGACCTAAGACAATTATGCATTGTAAGAAAAACTGCTGGTTATACTGAAAAATAAAAAAAAGTATTTAAATTTCCATTTTATTATTATTTACACTGCCTTTTTGATTTGCTCTGTTTTTTCAAAACATTTTTGTATTTATTATGCATTTGCTTTCTTGATCTTATTGCTGATATCGTTTATTTATTTCCAGTGTTTACTTGCTTATGCAGTCTTTATTACTTTTATAATATCTTGATCCAAGCTGAATACGTAAGAGATTAAAATATGCTTTAGTTTTCAATATGTATACTTTACTTTCAGTTTTAAACTTGCTATTCACTTTTTCCGTAACTTTGACAGAATTAATTTTATTTATTTAATTAATTAAACATTGCACTTCAAATTCAAATTTATCACCTTTAGCTTTTTCCCATCTTTTCTCAACTCGCCTTTTGGCAAACCTAAAACTCACTTCTAGCAGCATAACTTGTGATTTTTCTTCTTTCTAAAAATCATGCGTAATCATACGAATTTTCTCCTTTATGAGCCAAATTTCCAGCCAAATTCACGATTGTAAGCGTGTAAATATAAGATAGCATAAATAGAAGTAAAGCATAGGAAAAGCAACTTTGAAATACACGCAGATCAAACAGCAAAAGTTCAAAGTTTTAGCGTGGCAACAAATTACATTCGATATAATCGACAGTTATAAGTAAAAGTAAGTGATAAGTTAAAAGCAAGAGTAAGAATTAATACATACAGGATAAGGAAAGGAGAATTTATTCTTTGTTGATTTTATATTGATACATGTTAGACACTTGGTATACACTTACCCGCTGCTACAGCTGCTAAAGCAAAATAAAACAGCATTCTGAAAGAAAACTGCAGCTTCTGCTAATGAAAAAAACCTGAATTATTATGGGAATCAAATGGAATCAGTGGATAATTTATTGAACAATTTTATCAAAAAGTTTCAATATCGTTAAAAATAAATTTTTCCCTTGGGAAACAGAACTAATCATACCTTGCGTATAAGATAGCATTACTTCTCAGCTGCAGATGTTTTCACTGATAAATGCAATCTTCTGAGGTAACAAAAGGCTGAGTTTTTTCAAAAAAGATAAAAAACCATATTTGGAGAAAGTTCTACACGTTTAAAAAACAAATTAAAAAATGCAGCACTAATTCATATTTCTAGGAATAATTTTCTTAGGTTAAATAATTACTTACTACTATAAAACACGGATTTTTAGCACGAAAGTCTTAATCTTGTATTCAAATCATAATCTTGTACATTACAAATCTCTTAATTTGGTAAATCACGAAACTCTTTCTCTTATTTTCATGAAGAAAGAAGGTCGAGACGTAAGATTTCTGTGTAGAAATTCTTTCAGTCAGCTAATAAATTAATACAAATATAATTTCGGTGGTAAAATGCATTTCATGATATTGTTTCGACTACGCTTCAGGTAAATATTAGTTAACGAGAAACAGGTAATAAATGTTGTTTTATAAAAAATGTTTCATTTTTTAAAATTTTATCAATGTTTAAACAGAAACAAAAATGTAAACATGTAACAAAATACCAAATTATACGTACATAAAAATATTTAACAACTAATTTATTAAGAATACGAATCCTTATACTTCATTTGAAACAAGAAGAAATTTTGTGTTAAGACTCATAAAAATCATTCATTTTTTTAAAATTTCCCTCAAAAAGCATGAATTTTGTATTTCGTTTTACGAGTATAAAAATACTTGTTTCCACTGTATAACCACGGAGACCCACCAGCGGTTGAGTGGTAAAGTCGCGAACGCCGATATATCCGATCTGGGTTTGATTCCTGCAGGACGGGCTGACTGCATGGACGTTTTCATGTTTTACCCATGTGTAGCATTTTTGCGAGCCAGTTTCCCTTAGAAAGTCCTTTACCAAGGCATCCTTTCTCTTAGGTGGATAGCCCTCGAGTGCGTTGCCATAATTAAATAAAACAAACGTGTAACCACTGAAGAAAGAAACACATGATACCTTAAAATACAGCTTGGCTGCTGCAGCACACAGTGCATGTTTTCTAAAATTTCAGCTTTAAATGGATTTCGTTAAATTTGCGCGTCATTTTAGCAGTCAGATCTGAAAGACTGGCTTAACTTTACGCATCACATTAAATTTTTATTATTCTATTAGGATGTATTTCATTAATTTTTAAGGCCTATTAGTTTTTCTTCAAAGTATCAGTAGGGTTGTGCAACCACGCTCCATCAATAATGCACTTTTTCATAAGGCATTCTTCTTTTATCTCATCTTAACCGTTTTAGACTCAGAGATTCAGAACTCAGACCAATGTTATTGTTTAAACGAAAGGACCCCTGACTAAATTCTGCAGCATGGCACAATTCGTGCTTGCTCTCGCAAACAGATCATTATAGGCTAACAATACCTCGCGAAATGGCCCACTATTATCAATAATGTAATATAGTTTTAACTGTTGAGCCAATGATTGATCTTCAGTATCATTCCCTAAGCAGGCTTCTCCAAACTCTGACAATCGTTTCAATCTCACGTTCGTCTCAAAGAAGGATTACACTGTCTTGTTTTCCACCCACGTCTGTCTCTAAGAAAGATTACATCATCTCATATTCCAAATTGCATCTTTCCTATGTTTCTGAAATTCCTGTATTAGCTACAGGCATTTTTGATTGAATAGTTTCTAACTTGTATTAATACTGTACTTTGTATGCGTGATATTTTTATATACGCCTGTTTTATTTGTAACTGCTTGACATTTTATTGCATCGAAGATTAATATACAGTTAGTGTATTGTTTCTAATGTTACATTATTGGATTAATATCTTTGTATTTACAATGCGTAATTGTACAACAGAATGTAGACTTTTATGCTTGAAGAAGAAGATAACAGAAAAATATCAGTAGCGCTGTTTCGTAATTAGTAACTGCTTCGTCTTATATGTATTTGCGTGTAGTTATTGCTGCAATCTTGATATTGTATGTATAGCTGTGTTTTTAGTGTGCATTTATATAAGAATATGTATATATAAAATTACAAAACATTTTTTAATTATGATTTTCCAAATTTTCGTCTTTGAAAACATTAGGTCTAAATTTCTCTAATTTCTTAATATATATCTATATATATTAATATATATATATAAAAGAAAGGAGGTTTGAAACCTAGCAAAGTCCGTAAAAAGATTTGTGTATCCTATCAAATTCTAGAATAACCATGTAAAACAGTGACAAATCATATTTAAAAAATGCGATAGTTCCTATCTAATCTACATAAAGATGAAAAACGCGCACATAGAAATAACACAGTCAATCTTCCTTGTTCAAAGCCTCAAACAGAACTTATCAAGGAAAAAGTGCTTGAAGCTTTCAACCAAGATGATTAACCAAGAGCATGCAACACGTCGAGCAAATACATTGAGACTGCAAACGGTATTAATCGTAATTTATTTTCTTTTCAAACTGAAACAGGAAAAGTCTCAATAGATTTGCTCCTTTTTCCGACGTGTTGCGTGTCTTAATACATTCAGAGTAAAAAATTAACAAACTGAGTAGTACATGAACAATAAAAATAAAAATTAAAAATTAAGTATTAAACACATTTAAAAGAAACACCAAATACAAAGTGGCCTGATGAGGTTAATATACAAATCGAATTATTCAGGGATTTTCTGAATTGAAAAATAAAACCTGAAAGTCGTATTTAAATATATTTTAAAAGGGCCCTTTGGATTGAAATAAAAGTGTTTTGGTAAGGAAAATATTTTTCAAAGAAAAATTACAGAGCGAAGTCCTGTTAAGACCAAAAGGTGGAGCATTTTGTTCAAAAGTAAAGGTGAAGAAATAAATCGTGAAAACATACCTGCGTCTGCCTTGAGCTCTTGCTTAAATTAATTTGAACTAAAATCGCATGAGGAAAGCTTGCAAGAAAATGAAGGAAACCAAAGAAGTGTCACCAGAAATACAGAACAGTCAATTTGCACCCATTGGAGCACATTATTAAATAGAAGCAAGTTATCGTAATTTTATCGTATCCGATGGAATAGTCCGAAAACAAGGGAGGAAAAACTGCGGATGGTGAGGGGTTGAAGTTAGAGGAAACTCGTGTTAGATGGCGTCTTTTTTAAAGATTGTAAGTTCTCTTAACGAATTAACAAATCAAAATGGCGAAAATACAAAGTAAATGCTAAATAGGCGAAAAGCGAGGTGAAATGGAAAAATAGACTATAAATGTTAGTAAAAGTGGTCATGTTTCACGCTAATGGGCTTCAAAGCGATTGTGGGAAATTGCAAATAGGCCCTTAAAATTATTGACAGACAGAGTTGACCAATAATTCATAATATCTTTTAGCAAATATACTGATCTTAAAAGCCAAATTTTAAGAGTAAAGAGAATATAGAGAATTTACTTTACATTAATACATTAGATTACCTATTTTAGTCATGCATTAGCTACCCTCCTTTCGGGTTTGGGTAAAAAAAAATCATGTCACTAAAACAAGTAATTTAAAGTAACAGGTTAATGCGAGCTTTTTTTAGGAAATGTTTAATTACTTTTTTAGGAATTTGTCCTGCAGGATGCAATAAAGTATTGAATTTCTTCTTGGAGAAGGTCAGTGCAAATTCAAATTCTTTTTATTCTAAGAAGTTAGGATTTAATAGTATTAATAATGACTCTTTTCGAAATGTTAGAAGTCCAGTTAGTGAGTTCGAGCATGTGAAATTTGAGCTGTCTGCGTTTGTCATAAATTTTTAAAAATTCGCAATTAATAATATAAAGATCAAGATAGTTTATGTCTTTTTGTTGCGTGTTGATAGCATTAAGTTTAAGGCTAGTAGGTTAAATATTTGCGTGCTCTATTTTGTTATAATTATTAAAAGCTATTATGTCATCAATACATCTGTAAACGTGCTTAAAATATTTATGCTTTTTTAGATCTAGAGTTGCATAAATTTAAATTCTTGAGTCAAAAAGAATAATCCACAGATTGCAGTAAAATAATTGGCGCCCATAGGTATTCCTCGAACTTGCTTAAATATCTTTTTATCAAATTGTAGATAATTGGTAAATAAGACACTATTTAGGAAAAGTTTCCATTCTTCTCTTGAGAGTATGGTAAGGATTTTCGGAAAATTCTCAGGAGCGTAATTGGGCTATCGTGAATTTCTTCTAAAGACAAAGTGGTTAGAGATTTTCAAAGTCGTAACATTGAATGTTATCAATTTTAAGAGTATTCAACATATCTATAATCGTATCTAGTTCGTTACTATTGATAATCCAGTTGAAGGGCTAATCTTGAAAATTGAAATTATTAATTATTTCTAGTACTTGCTTAAGTTTCTTAGCAAATAGTCGATTTCTTTAAAAACATTTTTGTGTCCTTAGCAATGTATCTAAATTTAAGTCTTGTGAAATTTAGGTAGAGCCTTCTATGCAATGCCTTGAACGTTTTGAGAAGTGTCTTTTCATTAGTATTAATAAGCTGATAAGTGCTGGTACTTTGCAATTTTTGTTGAATTAAGTCATAGTAGAACTTTTATAAATTATACTAAAGTTATTGCTCACTTTGTCGATTTTAGTAATGATGCAACGTTCTTGTAGCTGTTTAATTTTAACCTCGAGAGTTTTCTTATTGCGAATCTGTTGAAAACTGAGTAAGTAGAGGATTCTTTGCGCAAAGTCTTTTAATAATGTTTCTTTCCATTCCAGAAAGGTAGTTGTAGGTAAATTAGCTCCAGAGCTAGCAACTATAAAGGTATTCAAATCATCACTGAATTGCTGTAGGCTAAAGCATTTGCTAAGATGGAATGTATGACGAAATTTAGCCCCCAGCTACATAAGTTGTTTTAAGTCTAGATCTTGAATGTTATCCAAATCTCCTGTGAGGATGTGCTTATGAAAAGGATTTACAAATTTATTGTATTCTGGATTTAG